CCAGTTGCCAATCCCATGAGGTTTTCAAAGGCTATTTAGGATGCTTTTCCTTGGATCTGGGATCCACATGGTATGACTCATTATCAGCTATCATTGTCTGTTATCTGCAGAGGACTCTTGTTTAAATAAGGGAGAGTGGTGATGATAACTGATTATCCAGGAATTCCAAGCTGCAAAATGAGAACCCGATCAAAGATATTGAGACAATTTGCACGGCATTTAATCTTTCCATTGCAGTTCATTACATGATCTCAGTTTCTGTAACTGGCAGAGGAATGTGCTTTGGGGGGAAAAATAAATGATGTTATCAAGTTATCATCATCCCTGGGGGGTGGGAGGGGGAGGAGAGTGTGAGTAGTTTAGTTTAGGGTTTCTCCTAGCAAGAAGTTACACTTCCAAAGGAAGTAACTTAATGGCTCCCCAAAGCTAGTGAAGCTATGCCTCTCTTATCACTTAAATAATTCCTGAAAGCTCACCCCTGGCCAAGAATCATTCATGGAACAAAAAGAATAGAACCTGAGCCTCCCTGAACAACACCCAGTCTGCTCATGGGGCCTTCACACCAACGCAACCCTGAGTTTGAAATAGGCCAACCTATGCTTGATTCCCAGCTCTGACCTTGACATAGTGAGAGGTAGCGTGGCAACAAGATCCTGGACTGGTCACTTCACATCACAGTCCCCAAGAGGAACAGGCAATCGATTACCAACCTATGGGGTCATTGTAATGGAAGTGCTCTGCAAACCTTGAAGTATTATATAAATAAGAGCTATTATAATGTCATATAAAATCAACCTTAAATGGCTATTCACATTGGCCTTGGAGTCAGAAACACCAGGGTTCAAGTCCTTCCTCTGACACACATTAGCTGTGTGAAGCTGGGCAAGTCATTTAACCTTTTAGTGTAAGAGATAAACTCTCAGATAACAAGATTCAGAGGAGTAGCCAGTCTGCACAGAGGGCATTTCCTCACCAGGAGTTCCAGACCAGAAAAAGAATGGTTCTTGTCCTTGGTGCATTTATTTAACAAACTTTTTTTTTTTAATTCCACTATGTACAAGGCATTAGGCTAGGCGCTTGGAGTATAAAGCTGAAAACTGAAAACTGTCTCTCCCTCAAGGAGCTAACAATCAACTGGAGGTTAGGGAGGAAGGACATAAAACATGAATGCAAATAGATGTTACCACCTACAGCCTGGAACACTATTCCAGGACTCTGGGCTCATAGGGAGCTAGGACCATCTTGTAGTGAGTCTCCAAGAAAGTCCTTATCTTTAACTAGTTTTGTCTCTTCATGTATATTGCCAGGAAAATTTCTAAAATGTAACTTGGGTACAGTTTGTATCTTTGTTCAGTCACGTCTGACTGAACATTTGGGGTTTTCTTGGCAAAGATACCAGAGTGGTTTGCTATTTCCTTCTCCAGCTCATTTTACAGATGAGGAAACTGAGGAAAACAAGGTTAAGTGACTTGCCCAGGGTCCCACAGCTAGTAAATATCTGAGGCCACTTTTGAACTCAGGAAAATGAGTCTTCCTGCTTCCACACCCAGTGCTCTATCCACTGGGCCACCTCATTGACTACCAGTTTGTGTCTGACTCTCTCCAAATATAAGTAATACAGTCCCCTCCCTCAGAGGAACTCAATGTACAATATGGGTATCAGATAGGAGACAGTTTTTATTTCTCCCACCAGAGAAAATGCATCAAATGCAAAAGATACCCTGGAGCTTATGAATAAATATAGCCACACAGCACACTCCAATAGCTCATCAGATTCCCCTTAGAAGATAACCAAGCGACTGCTAGATAGATCTTTCCCATTCACTTGAACCTGCCTGCACCATCTGAACAACTCACAGAAAAATCACAGAGATTTGATTGGTCAGATTCAGATCATCTGGCCCCTCATAGTATGATTTTAATATTCCAGCTGCCAAGAGTCAAAAAAAAACCCTATATAATCAGCCTCTATGGAGAAATGATTCCATTATGACAAGGCCACATGACTGAGGTTCCAAAAGCTTAGCAAATTCAGGAAATAAGCAGGATTGGCCTGACAGGTACTTGAAAATTTATTTCTGATTGGATAAATCTGCAATAACCCATACCCCTTAGGCAGCAAGTTACTGGGGACCCACAAAGAGAGGCAGAACTAAAGGCTACCATGACATGAAAATTATTGTGACTTAGTAAAATAATTAAATTTATTCACATATACAAATTTTTACATCTTAGAAAACTCTTTATGTCCAATAAGTCCTTCTTTTGCTTCAGTCACTTGTTTTACACGATTTGGAATTGAGTTCAAAAGTTTTTGACATAAATGATGAAACCACTTTTATTACTTTAGATGTCAAGTATACCTTCAACAAAGAGTCCAGTTTTTCAAGTCTGGCCTTGATTGCAGCTCATAGGTTTTCAATGGGGTTTAAATTATGCAGGTTCCCAGGCTATTGAAACACATTTATCTCCATCTGTTAGATAAATTTCTTAATCTTTTGTGTCATGTGGCATGATATAAAATCGTGTTGCAATATTCCATCTCTATTTGGGAATTTTTGTAACCTTGGAATAATATTGCTTTTTTAATGTATAAACACATTTATCAGAGTTCATTATTCCCTCAATGAGGATAAGACTTCTAGGTCAAATTGCCCCTTCAAAAAAAATGGTTTGTTATTGTTTGTTGTTCAGTTGTTTTTCAATTGTGTCTGATTCTCTGGCACCCCATTTGGGATTTTCTTGGCAAGATACTTGGGTGGTTTGCCATTTCCTTCTAAAAAAAAAATTGATTATAAAGATGCCCAGATCTTATAGATTACATAGATTTCTTTTAACAGTGGTTTTGGTATAGTCTTGGAATAACCTTTTCCAATTTTCTTTACTCCATTCTTTGTATAATCTTTTCTATGACAAGCATTTTTCCCCTTCGTAGCCAAAGTTAGCAGCTTTTTATTTAAAACTGATCTTCTCACTGTTATTTCAACTTCAAGAAATCTAAACAATAGTGTAGAGGAATCTTCTTCTCCAGGTCCCTTTGAAGGTCTTCAATTGTTTTATGAGAATTAATTAAACTGTTTCTTAGCTGTAGTTCGTGATTTCTTGACACTATTGTTCATTTTCTCTTGCATTTTCCTTTGTGCTTGGACAAACCCTGATTTATTGTGGGATTGAATGATTCTTGAAATACTTTACTATACCACAACAAAAGCCACTACAATATCTCTCACTGTCATTGAAGTAAGCTCTTTTAAGAGCTAAAACTTTTGCATACTTCCTTGGAATAATATACATTCTTAAAAATCACATAATTAAAAACACACAAAAAGCAATAAAACACAAGTGTATGGCATAAAATCTACCACTTAATTGACAGAGAACTAACTAAAGGTTAGTCATGGTCAGATGTTCCAATTGCTATCACAAAATTATACCTTATCAAAACTATTGCTTGTCCCAAGGAGCTCACACGCCAGTATAAAAACTCATCTGTTGTCTGAGAATTATAGAGTTTGAAACTTTCTCAGCACTTCTGAGTGAAAAAATGAATGAAACATTTATTAAGTGCTTATTATGTGCAAAGTGCTCTGCTAGGCACTGGAGATACTAATAGGATAGTAAGACAGTCTCTTCTCCAAAGGAGCTCACATTTCAATGTAAGAGCCAACATATATGTTAGGTTTCAGCAGCATGCCAGTTGGAAAGGTCTAGTGCTCCTTAGGGTTCAACAGCAAAGCACATGATTCAGTTCAGTTCAATAAATATTAAGTGCCTACTATGTATCAGGGCAGCTAAGTGGCACAGTGGATAGAGTACTGGGCCTGGAATCAGGAAGACTCATCTTCCTGACTTCAAATCTGGGCTCAGACACTTACTCACTATGTGACCCTGAGCAAGTCACTCAACCCTCTTTGCCTTAGTTTCTCCTCTGTAAAATGGCCTGGAGAAGGAAATGGCAAATCACTCCAATATCTTTGCCAAGAAAAGCCCAAATGGATTCACAAAGAGACACAACTGAAACAACCAAACAAATATAGCAGGCAGTGAGGATACAAAAAAAAAAGAGAGAGAGAGAGAGAGAGAGAGATAGTCCCCGCCCTCAAGAGACCTATGCCTCTTTTATGGCATTCGCACCAATAAAATTATATTAGTTTCTGTTGATGGACCATTTAACACTGCATGGGAGCACTGCTATTCCAAAGTGTCTTGGGTTCAGGTCCTGGGCCTTCTCTATCGCTGTCTGAAGGGAGACGGTGGTCAAAGTGGCAGTTTCACTCATCTGGCAAATGCTGCCTCAAGCTGCCTTACTGCTTCTACTAGGCTGTTTAGCCTTCCCTATGGATTAGCAGTTGGTGGCTGTGGCTGGTGCCTTGTACATAGGAGTTGCTTCCCTGGACAATGGATATAATGGCTGAGTTGGAAGTAGGACTGGAGGTATTGCCTCTCCAGAGGATGCACTTCTCCACTCTTCATGGTGGCTGGCTAATAGCTGTTGCTGGTGATGTGGAAGGTGGCACCTTTCCACAATAATTTTCTCCTCAATTATGGGGGGGGGGAGACTGGGCTAGAAGTAGGTCTGGTAGCTTGGTGCACCCTCCTATTCCAAGGCTCTTGAGTTCAGGATCCCAGGACTGTCTCCATTAAGGTCTGATGCACATAATTCTCTGAGCATGGAGCTTGGCTTCAAATCAACTCCATGGCCATGTCGGTTAGTCATACAATGAGCATTTATTAAGCACTTCTCATGTGCCAGGCCCCATGCTAAGCCATGCTAAGAAATGCAAAAGCAATGTCCTTGCCTTTAAGGAATTTACATTCTAATGGGAAGACAACATGTAAATAAGCAAGGACATAAAAGATAAATACACAGTAGATGGAAGATCATCTTGGGAGGAAGGTACTAGCAGAGAGAGACATATGAATGCTAGCTATATGCTTTAAAAACCTAATGGCATAGAAGCAAAATTTTATATACAGTCTTCTTTGTCCTTTGCATACAGATAAGTCGGTGTTTATTAAGTTAAGGATCTCCTGTGATCATTTGAGCTGCTGAGTAGAGGACCTACTGAAATGGAGAGAGAGAAATCAGGGAGATGGATTAGAAGGCTATGAGAGGTAATGAGGGGCTATACAAGGGTGGTGGAATGTGAGTGGAAGGAATGGAACGCATAAAAGAGATGTTGTAAAGGTAGTAAACGACAAGATTTAACAACAGATTGGCTATGTGGAGTGAGTGTGAGTCAATGATGATACCAAAGTCTGATTGGGAAGATGATACTGCCCTCAACAGTAATAAAGATGTTAAGAACAGAAGAGGGTTTGGCGAGAGGGGGAAGATAGTAAGTTCTTTTTCACATGTGTTGAGTTTGAGATGGTTATGGGATGGATGACTGAAAGGCTATTGGACATGTATGACTGTGGCTTGGTAGCGAGACTAGGGCTAGATATATAAATCTGGGAGTCATCTATACAAATGTAGAAATTGAATCCACAAGAACTCATAAGATTACCAAAAGGTATACAGTTATAGTTGGTGACCTAAATCTATTTTCTGTTGGAAAGTGTCTATTCAAATTTAGGCCTTCCTGACTCCAAGCCAGGTACTCTATTCTGTGCATCACCTAGCTGCCTCATGGAGATTAGTAAATACATGGAATATAGTAAATATAAATAGTCATACTTTTTAAGATAATATGTTTCATAAGTTTTCCACTGCCTAAAATAGCTCTTCCTTCTATTTGTTCTGAAATGGGCTTTCTCTAACATCAAACACTAAGTGAAGGGATGTGATACTAGCTCCAGAATTAAGGGATTTTGTGAGTTTTCACCTAATCCTATCTATGCCTTTATCATACCTTGATCATGTCATCACTCTTAAATATTCCACCTCTACTATCCATAACTCTGATATTCATCTATCTGATTATAATTTCTAATCATCCCTTCCTTCATCCCACCTAAACTACTCCCCTTCTTTCTCATGACCTTCTCACTTTACCCTTCTCTGCTTTCCTTTTTCTTTTTTGCAAAATATTAACTTTTTTATTAATGAGTTCAACTTTATTACAGCACCCTCTTTCCTTCATGTCCTTATATTTCCATCCTATTGACAATCATCCCCTTCCCAATCCCATTCCTGAAACAATTCCACCATCTACCTTTTCCCATCCTATATACAAGGTGTTGAATTCCCCTGGAAGAAGTCACACAATCATGCTGAGTCCTACAGATTTATGTTATATAATCTCAACTGAGCTCTCCCTGCTGCATGCCAATCATTTTGCTCTTCCTTAATTGATGCTTTATACCACTCCACTCAGCATCCATTAAAAACTTTTCTTTTTTCCTTAAGATACCACTATGGCCCCCTCCCCACTTCCTCTCACCAGAAGACATCACCTCATACTTCACAGAAAAAACTGAGACCACAATGAGCTCCCTCTTCTCTCCAATATTGCACTCCAAACCACTTCAACAACATTTCCAATTCTCTCCACCTTACTTGCAAACATTAGGGCTTCTATTTGTGCCCTTGATTCTATCCTATCCCATCTTTGTTTCCCCTGGGAGCTCTGATAATTCATCTCTTGTTTAATTTTCAATCTCACATTATCTACTGGCCCTTTCCTTACTGCTTACAAACTTACCCACGTCTCATCATCCATCTCTTTAAAATCCTCTTGATTCCATCATCCTCTACTCTATCTCTTCTTCCTTTTACAACCAAACTCCTGGAAAGCTGGCTAGATTCATTGTTTCCATTCCCTAACTTCCTACTTCCTTACAGTCTGGTTTATATCTTCATCATTCAAATGAAATTCTTCTCTCCAAGGATACAAATGCCCTATTCATTGCCAAATCTGGTTGCCTTTTCTCAGTCACGGTCTTTTTGAAGTGCTATTTCCTCCTCTCTGGATTCTTATGACACCTCTCTCTTGGTCTTCCTCCTACCCAACTGACCACTCTGCCTTACTCTCCCCTGCTGAATCCCCTTTAACCCATTCCTTATGTGTCAGTATATTGCAGAATTCTTTCCTGCGTCTCTTTTTTCTTTAGACACTCTGCATGATCTCAGCAGCTCCCAGTATTCAACAATCCTCTCAATTTGAATGACTCCTAGATCTACACATCTAACCCCAATCTCTAATCTGAACATTACTAGTTACCTATGGACACCTCTACCTGGATATTCCATAGGCCTCTAAAACTCACTATGTCCGTAACAGAATACGTTATCTTCCTTTCAGACCCTTTTCTTTTCTGAACTGCTACATTTCTATTGAAGGCATCACCATCCTTCTAGTTACACAGGTTCACAACTTTGGAGTCAACCTCAGCAAGTTCCTCTTCCTTGTCCCTCCCAGCTCAATTGTCACCTTGTCAATACTACTATGGTAATGAGTCCTGCATTGAGTCAGTCAACAATCCTATATTAAGCACTTACCATGTGCCAAAGACTTTATGAAGCACTAGGAATACAAATGCAAGCAAAAAAACAATCCCTGACTTCAATGAACTTACATTCTGGTAGTGAAGACAACACATAAAGGATGCTAAAGAAGGAAGGGGTGGAAAGTACCTGGCAAAGGCATAGTAGAGAAAGCCTGGAGTGAAACCTAGAGAGGAATGAGATCTGGCTGACCTAGAGGTCCTGCTTAAATGGATGCCCTGGGAGGAGCCATCTAAGGGGAAGGCCCCAAGGTTGAGAGCACTTCCAGTGTGTGAATTCTGAGGCTAAGTGAGGCTTCAGGATAAAGAACTGGGCCGTGGTAGAGGAAGTCTAGCATATAGCCTATAGTTAGGAAGGAAGGAAATATGGAGGAGTGAGGCACGTCTGAGGTGCTCACCTTCAGTTAACTCTACACTAGGAATCACTCCCATGAGGAGTGATTATCTGTCCCCTCTCCCCTACACACACACACACACACACAGAGTGGGAAAGATAATACGGAGCATTAAGTACTTACTGAGTGTGAGTACTGCTCTATGTGGAGGATTTTTGTCGTTCAGTTGTGTCCGACTGTTCATGACTCCATTTGGGATTTCCTTGGCAAAGATACTGGAGTGGTTTGCCACTTTCTTCTCTAGCTCATTTTGCAGATGTGGAAACAGAAGCAAACAGGGTTAAGTGACTTATCCAGGGTCATAGAGCTAGTAAGTGTCTGAGGACTGATTTGAGCTTGGATCTTCCTGACTCCAAGCCTGGTGCTCTATCCACTACATCACCTAGCTGCCCCTAGGGTGAGGATATGAAGACAAAATGAAATACCCCTCCCCTTAGGGAGCTTGCACTTTATGGGGAGGAGTGAGAACAATGTGTAATAACAGCTAGCATTTATACAGTGTTTAAGATTTTTAAAATGCTTCAGAAATGTTATCTCATTTAATATAAACACATGCAAATAAATGCTTTTATATTATACACAAATACAGTCTAGAGTATATACAAAGTAATTTTGGGGCAGAAAACATAGGTCTCATATAAAGGGCTTGAATCCTCACCCCTTCCTCAAATTTCATCTTTCCCAAGCAAAAATATGTCTTTACTCCAAGCCTTCCTACCTCCTGACCCTCTAAGTTGCTTTTCTCTAGGTGTTCTCCAGCTCTGATGACTCTTTCTTAAGGAGCATATCCCAAATCCACACCATAATAGCATTATAGGGCTGGTGCGCCATGATTGGTTGTGAGAAGGTCATATTTGCTTGTGTGTAGAGCTGGCGTCTCCCAGCCTATATTCTGCAAAAGCATGTGGCAGAAGACAGTGATTGGGTGGCTACTGGGGCCCCACAGGATATTGGAGGGCGCTTAGATTATTAGGTCCAGGAAGGATCTATGAACAAACATGAAAGCTCTAAAGGCCTTTGGAACATTGAATATCAGAGACAGCAGGGACCTTAGAATATTACAACTGAGAGAAATTCTCAAATATTGAATGCCAGACCTGTAAGGACCTTTTAAAAGAATATCAAACCAGGAAAAAGCCTTACTACATCTGGTGTCAGAGCCAGAAGAGAACTTAGAATACAAAATGCCAGGGTCACCAATTGACAGAATAGGAAACTGAGGTCTAAAAATCAGTACAGTTAGCACATTCTTTTTCCTGAGCACCCAATTCACTTCTTTTTAGAAATAAAATGTGGACATAATGAAATATGCCCAGAATTCTAGGAGAATTTCCATTCCTTTCCAGTCCCTTCATTCTTCATGGAATATTAGTCACAAATCCATGGGATTTAGATCTTAGAGATTTAGTTCAACTCTTTACAGATGAAGAAACAGGATCAGAGCAAGAAAGTAATTTGTCTAAGGTAGTGAAATTAATCAGTGGTAGAGTTGAGATTTGAACCCAGGTCTTCTCACTCAAGATCCTGTGAAATATCCACCATATAATAAGAGTTGTCCAAATGTAGAATAGGCAGAATATCATGACTGTCCCATCACTGGAAGTCTTCAAGCAGAGGTGGAGAGCCACTTTTTGGGGATGATTGAGAGATGTTTCTGCTCAGGTGGAGGTTGGCCCCAGTGACCTCTAAGGGCCCTTTTGGCTTTGAGATTCTAGGATTTTCAGCCTTAGTGATTCTTCATGGTATCTCTCCCCCTGGACTGAGGGGAGGAGGTACCCAGGTAGGGCTGTCAGCAGCACCAGCTGGGATCTCTGAGCTGAGTGGGCAGTGTGTGCCCAGGACGGATGAGGTGTGAAATGAGGTCTGTCAGGTCTGTGCCCCCTGAAGCTGACTTGGCAAGCCTTGTTTTCACCCTGGGTGAAGCAGATTGAGCTTTTTCGGGTGTTTTCCCAGCACTACTCAGGGAGCAAGAATAGAATTTGTTTTCTTCCCATTGTGCAAAATTGTCTAAAATAAGCAAAACCAAACAAACATAATGAAGGATAGGTGTTCATCAAGATGGAGAGAGCAGGGAGAAACAAGATGGGGGGATGGAAAAGAGGGGAGTAATGACCACCTAAGCCCAGACCACTTTCAGCAGATCCTAATGAGTGAGCTGGCAAAGAAGGTCCCTCAGCAGGAAGCCTGCATTATTAACGTTGGCACCAAACACAACCTGACTGCAATCTGAGAGAGCGGCTGCTAAGCTGGCACGACACAGACCCCATTCTT